CTTTGCTAATGCATCTGTGGGCCGCTTACATGAAGTCACACAGACTATTGATAAATTAATCATATTCTTCTTTACCTTCAGGTCAAACAAAATCAAGGCGAAATGTCCAGAAACCAATACGCTACAGAGTATCTATTGGATAATAGAGGGCATGCTGTAGAAAGTTTATAGAATACTACTTTTTGGATTTTATATAATTCTTTAAGATGTTGAATTTTGATTATCAGATAGGCTGCTAATCTTTTCCTAAGTGGCCTGTTTCTGGGACTATTTGAAAACTAGGACTGTTTGTATATTACAAATGTCGAGGGGGAAATCACTAGGGTTCGTAGCGTACGGACTATTTCGTGGTATTTCTCCTACCATTTCGGTTATTTCTCCTGCCATGTCGGCTATTTCCCGCCTATTTCGGATTATTTCAGGCTATTTCGCGCTATTTCGGAGTATTTCAAGGGTATTTCGCGACTATTTCACCGACTATTTCGCGTCTATTTCGTCTTTATTTCGCTCTATTTCGCCTTTATTTTGGACTATTTCGGGGGAAGGTGTACGAACTATTTCGCAAGTGATTTCCCCCTCGACAAATGTTGAATTTTGAATAACAGAGAGACAACGGTGTCTTCCAGATATATCTTTACTGTTTTGAGCCCGCTCTTTTGCTTAAAAGCTATATAAGCGGGCTTATGCCATCGCCTCTGTGTTTGTCCGTCTGTCCGTTCCCCAGGAAGGACGTGAGCTAGAGGTCTGAAATTTTCAGGGTATTATTGTTGTCACTAATGGCCAACGAAACGGTTGGTGCAAATCCTGGCAAGCACCCCTCAGTAGGTTTAAGGGGGTAACAAAGAAATAAGGGTTGGTCCAAGAAGTGGGAAAAAGTTTTTTTTTATGGTCTTCTAAGGGGTGACTTGTTAAAGTAGAGCGCTATGAGCTAAAATTTCGTCCGTTTTGCTCTATCTTGTACCGTTTCGACGCTATAGCGCATTTCTTGGCGAAAACAACGTAAAAAAGACAAAATGGTCTATTAAATCGTAGAAAAGGCTTCATGTCACAAGATTGTAATACTTAGACCACACGTTACGGGTCGAACCGCACCCTATTTCGGGCTTGAGGGTCCCAAGATCATCTAGTATCACTAAAACGTTGATTTTTACATAACAATCTGAGAAAACTCGAACTTTCAATGAAAACCGTTACCGAACAGCAGAAGTTTCATGTCCCTAATTTTAGAGTGAGACCCCCAGAAATGGTTCAAGTATGTTAAATTTTGGGCCCGGAAGACCTTGTTCCCCTAAACCCTCTCCTTAACTCGTCTCGGGTATCAGCGCCGCAGCCCTAGCTAAATGTGCGCCAGGCGCGTAGCAGGGTAACAGTGTTTCGTGAGATATCGCGAAGCCTGTTACGCGAGACGTGGTCTGGCGTACATATAGCTAGTTAATTTTAGGGGTACTTAGGTCAAAATGGACGTCTAAAGGGGGGGGGGGGTCATCGAAAACGGCCTCCTGCGCCGAGCGCCGATGCCGTTATCAGCAAACATGTTCACGCCATTCGTAAACGGGAGGTCGGATCGAGTCGGTCGAAAGCTCATTCGAAAGCCCAAAGAATGCCCTCCATTCGCCTCGCTTTCAACCCCCAAGTAAAATCAACAGGAAAGGCGCTAGAAGAGAAATACCGGAGCCGTGTCATTTGCGCGTAATACGTATATCGCCGTTTCTCCCTAACCAGAGGTCGGATGGGGTCGGACAAAAGCTGAATCAACTCCTCTAATCGAGCCCTTTAATTTATGTCCTTATACAAAATCCATGAAAATGAACGGGAAGGCCGCCAGGACCGAAAAAGCCCAAGCGGCCCGTAGCGCGCCGCGCCGCGGCCGGCCCGTCCCCCTGGGCAGTAGGCAATCCCGCAGCGCGCCAGTGGGAGCCGCGCCTGGCTACGCGCTCGCAGGCTTCGTTTCGCCACCGTTGTCAATCCACCTTCAGAATAGTGTATTTCGACCAACGGAGGAAGAAGAAGAGCGGGTAGAACATGAAGGTTCCTGATTGGCCGAGCGCTTACCCCCACTACCGGCGTGACGTAGAGGCGGGAAGCTCTCGACCAATCGGTAACGTTTATGTTCTACCCGCTCTTCTTCTTTTCCCGTTAGTCGAAATACACTATAAGGGTCCTTCACGGCCCCCCCCAAACAAACGAAAAAGTAATGCCCTGGCACGCCCCTCATATTGGGCTTACATTTGCAAAGCGTTTCTCGCAAAGCAAAGCGTCATCTGTTCAGAAGCCTGCTGCTTGTGTTGTGTACTTATCCTGAATTTTTTTAGGGGGGGGGGGGCTTGACACACTTTCTACTCCATTTATTTGTAGACGCCCATTTGAAGCAGATCACTTTAAAGTGATTTTTCACACAATTTTTTTTTATTCGACTACGAGACCTTATGGGCTTTGGCATTCCCTATCCCACATCTCCCTGCTGTGGGAAGTGCTGCCAGATAGGGCAGTTTTGCCACCAATTGGGTGGTTTTTTGAGCTAAAGGGTAGGGGAGAAGCACGACAAATCCGCCCATTAGTATCCTTTTGTCCGTTTAAAATTCACTTATGAGTGGATATGACTCTGCAACTGGCAACCCTGGGTGAGTGAATGATGACGTACTTTCCTTTGTTTCCTGGCTGCAGCTACTCTGCCTTGCTACAGCATCCGGCATCCGCCATCATACAGTAGGCCCGGTCATCGGGGGGTGTGGATCACTTTTCCAATTTTGAAACACGGTAAAATGATGCCCGTCCTCCCAAAAGACCGGCAATTTTTTTTTTTTTTAAATTTTCGGATATAGTTTAAGGGTGCCTACATGGCCGTTTTGCCTCAGCTTAGGCAACCCACAATACACTGCCGGTTTCCACCAGTTTCCGCGCCAAAAATCCATGTTTGAAGGTTCGTTTCAGGTATGTTACATGCTGGTCACCTCTCCATGTCACGGGGGAAGCCTAACGAGTTATCACCGAGCCACTTCCGATCTGTAAGGGCACCCAAAAGGCAAGAATACGCTTGATTTGTCAAAAAACCTTAAAAATCCGTATAAAATGTACGTTATAGAGCAATATTAGTGAGTCTACCCATCCCAATCCCCACCCACTACCATCCAGGTTACCACCCACCCCCTACACCCCCACCCTCACACCTGCGGTCCTCTGGTCAGGGTACGTTACGCGGCTAAATTCATATGATTCTCTGATCTGAGCGACAGTTGCAGCTCTTAGCTCACCCTGAATGTGGGTCACTTAGTCGCTCACATTCAGGGATCCCCAGGACCCACGGCGAGGACGTGGCTGCAAGTCGAGTCCCGCCCACCCACTTGTGGACCCATCACACCTTTATTTTTCTACTCTAAGAGGGGTTTATAGTTTTCAAATTGATTTTTTGCATATAAACGGGTAAATGTAGTTTTCGACCTCCTATAATATGGTGATGGTCAAGGCGAGTGGAACCTTCATTTCCTA